TCTTTTTCCTTTATTTCATTTCCTTAATCGCTTATTCATCACTCGTCAATAAACTTTTCCTTATGTTTGATTTTTATTTCTCTCTTTAACAAAAACTATAATCGATCATTATATTACTATAGGCATGGTTTTTTTCTTGTTGTCCTTCAAATAAAAATTGTTATAAATGAAATAAATTTTCTACTCTCTTATCCCGACTTCATCATAATAATCATTATTATTATTATTATTATCATCATCATATTTGAAGGCTATAGGAATTTTATTTATATTCACAGAGAACGAGTATAAGACTTTATTGTCTTTTGGTTCAAATTTTTTTTTTTTTCTTCTTCTCTACTAACAAGAACAAAACAAGAACTAAGAAAAAAGTAGTGGAATGGAACTAATCATCCTCTACACTACATTAGGATAAACGTCATCATTTGTGAATGATTTTCGATATATGAAGAAGAAGAAAAAATATATAAAATAACACTAGCGTTGTTTTAGATCTGAAAATAAATTGAATTCAAATAAATTAGACCCATAGCTTTTTTGTGTAAAAGTTTATTGACGTCATTTTTGTTTTTTCTCTTCTTATATCATGTAAAATTGAACACATAATTGGTAAATGATATTTTATCTTCATGAGAGAACAGAAAAATTGCATTACTATCATCATCATGCACATTTAAAGGTAACGACATGTTAACTTTACAATGTTGATTACCATATAATAATAGTGATGAGCAACTCTTCCCTTAATTTGTTTGATTTTTTTTTTTTAGGATTGAAGTTCACTCTGTAAGTCCTTCCTTGATGAATATAGACGTTTCTTCTTTTTTATCTTTTCTATATTTGTCATCCTATTTGCTTTTTTTCTTTTTGTTCAAAACATATGAACTTTATATTTATAATGATGACTATATTACAAATATTGATCTCCTTTCCNGTTAAATTTAATTCTCACATAAAGTGATTTAAGTACAAATTACAATTACACTGTTGTGATAATCTTCTAAAACAAATAAAAAAAAGAAGAAACTATTTTTTTTTTTTTTTGTTGTTGTGATTTTTATTGTTGGAAAGAAAAAAGACAATTATTATAGAAGATTTTTTTTGATTTTTCCTTATAATATAATGACTTTTGAAACGGTATTTTTCATTTGATTGACTATTGCAATCAATCGGAATATTTTCGCTCATTTTCTACAATCTAACTCGTCTCATTAATATTCGTCGTTGTTTCTTGTTCTCAACTTTGTAAAATATATATATATATATATATATTTTTGTCATCCAAGAGTGCGACGGACGTTTTTTTTTTGTGGCTATTCGAGTTCAAATGGGAAAGGAGATCAATATTTGTAATATAGTCATCATTATAAATATAAAGTTCATATGTTTTGAACAAAAAGAAAAAAGCAAATAGGATGACAAATATAGAAAAGATAAAAAAGAACGATAGAAAAGTTGGATCTAATTCCGTGGACATCATTTTTGCTTGTCAAATCATTTTTTACAGAATGATTTTTGTTACTCCGGGTTTATTACACTCACACACACACACATACATTCAGATAGAGAATCTGATAAAAAGATAAACGGTTAGTTGAAAGACTCATTGTCAGTTATTTGTTAAAAAAAAGTCAAAAAAAAGCAAAAGATGAAACTCTTCTTTTTTTTTTTTTTTATAATAGAAAATTGACGTTTACATTTCTTCAACAAAAAAAAAAAAGAAAAAATTCTCGACAATAATCATTGTTGGCTATCTTTGTTTCATTGAATCGATGAGATACTTTTTCAAATATATAAGTCATTTTTCTATATTATATATCAAAATTTTATCAAATTTCAAATAGTTTACTAAATCTTTTCGTCGATTCTATTAATAAAAAGTAAAAAAAAAAAAAATAGTTTCTTCTTTTTTTTATTTGTTTTAGAAGATTATCACAACAGTGTAATTGTAATTTGTACTTAAATCACTTTATGTGAGAATTAAATTTAACAAAATATATTTGTGTCGAACCATCGAGAAAGAAGGGTTATATGGCTAATAATCATGAAAGTGAAATGAGATTAGAGACTACTATTTGAACAATACTATATGAAAAAAAGAAAATATATATATATATATATATATATATATAACGTTTTGTATGTCATGTCGATTTCAAGGTAGAATAGAAGAAGAAGAAGAAGAAGAAAAAACTTTTCTTTCTCACTCTTAATACATGTCTCTTTTCCACTAATTCCTTTATTTTTTTTTACTAAAGGCAAAAACTACAGTACGGTTGTAATGCGTATATAATGAATGTTGTTGTCTCTATGTCTTTACTCTACTTTTTCTTCATTTTCTATATATTTTTTTTCTGTGCATAAAAAAAAAAAAAAAAACATAAACTCGCCGCGTTGTAATAGTGCTGCTCATGATGACAGCAATATATCAGCAGTATGAAAAATGAAAATGATACGACAAAGAACGGAATAAACTAGACACAAGTCGTTTTTGGGAAGAAGTTTTAAATAAAAATAAATAAATAAATGAGTAATAATAAAAAGTTCGAAAAGGAAGAGAGAGAGAGAGAGAGAGAGAGAAAGAAAAAAAAAAGCATGACTTTGTTTTTTTTCTCATCAATGAACCATCGTAAGTCAATCGACTGCTCAAACAAAACAATAAGATTGGACTCTTTAAACAGAATGATTAATTATCTTTTTCTGTCTTGTTTAATAATAGATAAAATTTTATTTTAGAATCATTCGAATATTCATAAATGAATAAATAAAATGGGTCTATTCTAACTTTGAAAGAGCAATAAAATAAAGTGAAATAATTTACCACCCACTGATATAAGTCGTATTCTTTAATCGAAATATAAATTTATGTTAGTTTTTAGTTTTTTTTTAATTTTTTGCATATTAGATCATTCAAATTAATAGAACTCATTCATCCAGTAGTGCAGAAAAAATTTTCTTTCTTTTTTTATTTTTAACATTCCTTTGATTCATAGTGTATATTTTTAATCAGGTAAAATTAATCTCAAAGAAACATAAAATACAGCGTCCCAAAAAAAAGCAACAACATGTTACTGTGTAAAATACTTTATTTCTACAAATATATCGAAAATGATGAGTATAATTTTAAAAATACTAATAAATAATCAAAACAAAAAAAAAAATAATAATGAGTTCTATCTGTTGGTCATTGTTAAGTTATTATTATAGTTTCTTCTTTTTTTTCTCAAATACTTATTAAATTTTCTATACTATTTAGACAAAATTATATATATAGTCTTCTCATCTCTGCTTGATAAATCTTCGAGACTGAATTTTATGAACATATAGAACTCATTTTTTAAGCATCTTATTGTGACTAATTGAATCGAAGCTGTGATATAGAATGAATGAGAATTCTAACTGATTCTATTTTTATTTTTTTTCTTCTATTGCTGACTTAGTATTTGACTATGAGCATATGATCTTTATTTATGCCTTCCATATATAAGCTTTATTCTTTCAAAATATAAACGGAAAATTTCCCATTATAGTATTCTAAATCTAAAACTATTGAAAAAATATAAAAAAAAAAAGTCTATTTTTTTTATTAATCATGAGACTTGAAACAAATGAACTTAGATTTAAAATAAAAGAAAAAAAAACTGCAAAAGTAAATTCACTGTTTCATAGTCTCTATGTTGTACAACAATTGATAATATTTTATTCAATATTTTTATTATTTTTTCTCTTTTTTTTTTTTTTTCTTTCTTTTTATCTTATGAGTTTATATATCTATCAGATATAGGTGTTACGGAAGAAGAAATTCACTATTTGTTGTTGTTTTTTATTATTGTTATTTTATTTAGTAGTAATTGTTTTTTGTTTCTTTTTTGTTTCGTCTTTGGGCAGTTCTATTTAATTATTCTCAAGGGAGAAGAAACAAAAAAAAATATTCCTTAACCAATTCTAACAAAGATGATTTTGTAATGTATAAAATAAAAATAGTTTCAGTCCAATAATCCTTAAATGTTATTTGTTATATTGAAAAATAGATAGAATGATAGATAGTTTCAGCATTTTTACTAGATTAAATTGAAAATTTTTGACATTTTAATACCGTGCATTTTAACCGAGTTATATGTTTATTTTAACTAATATTTATTTATTCAATGGTGAGAATGAGTTTATTACTTCGATTGATATCAAAAATTGATAATTAATTTTTTATTCTATTGGAAAATCAGTTTTTCATCCATAGAATACAAATAACTGTTTGAATTATATGTATTAATTTAACCCGTGTCGAATCGAAAAAAACCAAGTGATTTTTATCAGTTTGATGATTAATCAATCGATTTAATAAACATGAGAATGTAATCAGTTGTGAGGTAGTACTGTTAGACGATGATGATCACTTATTTTCATCCATAAAAGTCTATTGCATATTCTTACAGAATTTGGTATATATTTTGTGAATTTAATAGAAAGAAAAATTATAGACAGGCAGTTAAGAGAACTCTAGGCGCCTAGTCTTTCCTAGTTAATGTAAATATGGATCTTGACTATATATATATTAAGTATTTTAGGGCATAGTACACCTTATTGTTTACAGCCTTATTTTATCTCACTTGCGGTTTTCTCCATTACCGTTCTTAAGAGATGACCCGAAGCAATAGAATTTTTCTTTTATATTTTGTAACTTGTTATTCGAATTCATAGTCTTAGGGAAAAAAAATGATTTAATTGTTCTTCTCTTTTCTTTTTTTTTATCTTCAGATGAAAACTACTAATAGGGACGTTTTTTTATTGTCGTCACCGCCGTCATTGTTATTATTAGAAAATTAAACGTACAAAAGTCGGCATCAATGTAAAACGCATTCGTCGATATAAATTTAATTAATATATCTATATCTATCTATATTTATACAAAAAATATCGTTAAAATGATATTATCATATTGTTTTAGAGTGCTTCGATGGAAGAAGCTAAAGTAAAGATTTTTTTGTAATTTTAAATAGAATATGCTACGTAACTCATCTAGTGATGAAGATGATGGACAAGCACCAACCATTTCATCGAATACCTCAGGCCGTTCGCCACCCTCTCCTATTGTCCAACAAAAGAATCAACCTGTTATATCTGGAAATCATATCGCAAAACATGGTGGTCTAGTACCACCACATACCGGTGATTATGGTCCACTTTCACCGAGTACATTACCTCGAACTCCTAACAACGTATCAACGTCATATACACAACCGTTAACTAGAGATGGTTCAAATACGTTTGCTACTCAACGGACATCTCCAAATCTAAATTCAAGTGGACAAGAATCACCATCATTAGCAAACAAACTTCATTCATCACAATTAACTCAATCTTTACAACAGCCACAAACTGATGATGGTTCTAGGACGTCTGCATACGATGCAACAAGTTTAAAAAGTAATGATTCGAGTTTATCGGATCAACAACAACCACATCCCTCATCAATATCGAATACAAGACATCCGAGCACTGATTCAACAATGAAATATCGTATACAACAACAACAGCTTCAACCATCACCATTAACAAATCATATACCTAATACAGCAAGTAGTTCAACAACAACATCTAGTGGAATACCATTAGATCGAATACCGAGTCCATCACCATCGTTAATTAGTGAACGAGAAAGAGAAGAAAATGAAAAATTAGAAAGAGAATTAGAACAAAAACGAAAACGAATACAAATTTATGTATTTGTATGTCGATGTATATCATGTCCATTTAATTCAAAACAATCATCGGATATGGCTAGAAAACATTTGAAAATAACACAACAACAATATACACTTATTAAAGATAGATTTCATGCATTTCTCAATGGTAAAACGCATATTGAAGCAGATGAGGGTAAGGTGTTGTTATTGTTGTTTTTTAACTAAGTTTTCAGTTTAATTTGATGATTTAGTCTTGGTAAAAAATATAATAATACTCTTTTTTTCAATTTCTATTTAGCGTTTAGTAATGCTGTTCGTTCTTATTATGAAATATTTTTAAAAAGTGAACGTATAGTAAAAATGGTACAATCCGGTGGTTGTTGTTCAGATGATTTTCGTGATGTATTTAAGATAAATATTGAAAAACGTGTTCGAAGTTTACCTGATATTGATTCATTAAAAATTAGTAAAGATACCGTAGTAACATTATGGATGAATAAATATGATGCAATTTATCGTGGACAAGATCAAGATCAAGATAATTTAAATAGACGTGCATCAAAAATAAATTATAGTTCAGGTTCGGCTGAATTAATAATGAGTAAAGAACAATTATATGATATGTTTCAAAATATATTGACTATTAAAAAATTTGAACATCAAATGATATATAATAGTGCACAAGTAAGTAATTTAGAAAGAAATAGAAAATAAATATTTAATAATATTAAATATTTTATTTCTAGCTTGATAACAATGATGAACAAGCGGCCACTATTCGTCGAGAATTAGATGGTCGTATGAAACAAGCCGAATCTTTACAAAGGGTAATAAAATAATTTTATTGTTCAATTTTATTGCAAAAATTGAGTTTGATTCTTTAGGATTTGTTAAAAGATCGAAAAACGAGAAAGGTTATTTTTTTTAACATCAAATTGCATATATTTGATACCCTATTTCATTATGTTCTTGCAGCCATGTACTTTATACATTGATTCGTTATAGATAGCATGAATAAGCGCTATTATACATTAATTCAGTTGTTTTAATCGTATAAGAGAGCATGTCTACTTTTACAGCTTGAATCATTGAAAATAGATATCGTTTCAAACGATTTAAGAGACAAATTATATGAATAATAATAAATATTTCTCATTCTAATAATGTACATTTCAAATTTTTAGCAACGTGGTTTACTTCCACGCTTTGTTCACAAAGAAATGGATAGTTTATTTGTCGATGAATTAAAAAAAACAATAAATGATTTAATGAGTAATTTAGAAAGTTTACCTGTACGTGGTGGTGCAGAACAAAAACCGTTAAGACCAAAACGAGGTACACATGGTCGAAATGGAAGTGGTGGTGGGGGTAGTAATTCAAGTGGTGCACATTCGTCTTCCAATAAATCATTATTAGTTGACGGTGGTGATTCTGAAGCTGAACCGGGTCTATCAAAATTAGCGTTTGTATTAAATTTTAATATTAATATAACTGTTAAAGAAGTAAAAGGATTAAAATCTGTGCCAACAAATCGGGTTGTCTATTGTACAATGACAGTCGAAGGTGGTGAAACATATCGAACAGAACATGCCGAAGCGGGTAAACCCGTATGGGAATCATTAGCTGAATTTCCTACAAATCAAATATTACCAATTGTTAAAGTTAAATTATATATGGAAAATTATAGCATATTACATCTTGAAGATATTAAATTAGGAAAAGTATGAAAAATATAGTTTTTATTTCATTTTAAAAAAATAGACTACTTCGTTTGAGTTGAGAAATGAGTTGAGATTATACATCATCAATTTGAACTTTTTATTACACAATAATTGATTGATGTGTCAAATTTTTATAGTTTTAAATATGAAATAAGTTTAAAAATTATGTGTCTTCTTCTGTCTTAATATTAGGTAACATTACAAATCGATCCAACATTTAATAAAACAAATTGGTGGACAGATATGATTAAAAGTAAAAGTACAGCAACTGATGATTTAAAAGTAAAATTAGATGTTCGAATGGAAAAACCACAAAATTTAAAAATGTGTGGGTAAGTTGATTTTTTTCCCTCTCATTTTGTTTATTACTATTTATTTGTACTTTTTTTAAGTTGGTGCTATGCTCGTGGTAAAAATGTATGGAAAAGTTGGAAAAAACGATATTATGCTTTAGTACAAGTATGTTGATCAATAAAATAGAATAGAAATGTCTGATTATAAAACTGATTTATGAAACTAATTTAAGGTATCTCAATATTGTTTTGCCATGTGTAGTTATCGTGAAAAAAAATCTGAACCAACAGAAATGATGCCATTAGAAGGTTATACTGTTGATTATGCCGCACCAGATCAAGGTAACAAAATTTTTTTAAATATATTTGAAATATTTGACTTAAATTATATTTTTATTTTATTTTATTTTTTACAGGTCTTGTTTTAGACGATGCAAAATATTTTTTTAAAGCTGTTCGTGAAGGAGACATTGTCACATTTGCTACAAATGAAGAAAATGAAAGACATGGATGGGTGCAGGGTAATTTTTATTCATTTTTTACTCTAATGTTTTAATATTCAATATCTATTATCTTTTCATGTGTAGCTCTCTATCGTGCTACTGGTCAATCTCATAAGCCCATACCTCCACAAACAACAAAACAACAACAAACAGGGCAAACTGCTAACAAAGATACAACAGGTAAAATCAATCATGATAATCGCTCTTGTTTTTCAGTTTTTTCTCTATATATAGAACTTTTAAGAATTAGTAATGTACTGAGTCTACGTTTAGTAACTGTTTTAAAAAATAAATGACTAAATATGCGGTTGATTTGATATTGAATGAACAGAAAAATAGTTATTAATTTTATTTTTATTACTACTTGAAGAAAATAAAAAATTTAGATTGTTCTATTATGTTCTGATATTTTTCCTAAATTGTGTGTCTATAGGCAATGTTGTTGTACGTTGTCATTCGTATGATTTGATGGAACGTGCAAACTATTTTCGAAGTTTGTTCAAAATGATTCCTTCAAAACAATGTAAGACCATAGAGTGTGATCCAACAAAGAAAAAAAAAAAGAGCATATGATCAGTTTTTTTTTTGTTTTTTTTGCTTGAAATGATAAAAAAGATCTTTAAAGTTATTTTTAAATTGAGAGAACATAATAAACAAACGTTAACTATTGAAGACGTTATGCACGAGGTTATTATTATTTTTTTCTTCTTTTGCATGATATATATCTATCTATATCTATATGCTGTGTAAGCATGTTTAGAAAATATTATTGAAGACATTCGGCTTTATTTCTATCAATGAACATCATGTAAAGAAATAGATACTAAACTTTTTTATTCTACTTTTTATTTTATTACAGATTCTGATCGTACTGAAAAACTTGGTTTTGATGAATATATACAATCTGATCCATGTAAATTTGATCATCATGATTTATTTAAATATCTACAAACATCTACATTGGATTTTCGACTTAACGATCCATATTGTTCGTTGGTAAGTGTTTGTTTAATTCAATAAATTATATATTTATTATTGGTCTATATCTTGCTCTTATTCTCAATTAAAATGTAACCAAGAGATAAGGCAAATATTTTTTGACAATCCTACTCTTTTATGCATAGCATAAATCACTTTATAACTTGGATATGTACGTATTCAGTAAAAAGATAACAACAAAAATGCTGCTATTGCTGCCTGCTGATGCTTATAATTCATTATTTATAAAAAAAATAAGATTCATTGTGAATGTTTAAAAATCTCTTAATTATAGGGATGGTTAAGTCCTGGTCAATCTTATGTACTAGAAGAATATTGTGCACGCTATGGTGTACGTCATTGTCTAAGACATTTGTATTATCTGTCAGATTTACTTGATCGAGCTGAGCAAAATTTTATGATTGATCCACAGTTGTTACATTACAGTTATGTGTATTGTGCATCGCATGTATCGGGAAATGGGTTAGTCAAAATAATATGATAAATAAATTTAAGAAAACGTGAGCTTCATGTCATTTTATTTTTTGTGTTTTTTTAGACAAGATAGTAATATTGCCACAATAAGTGTAGAAGAAAAAGATCGATTCAATGATATTAAAGAACGTCTAAGACAATTTCTTGAACAACAAGTTACAAATTTTCGGTACACATTTAGATGAAATTAAAATAGAAAATAGAAATATGTCGTTTATATTTTAAGATTTGCATTTCCATTTGGACGACCTGATGGTGCTTTAAAAGCAACATTAAGTTTATTAGAACGTGTATTAGCCAAAGATATTTCAACACCAATATCTCGTGATGAAATAAGACATTTTATTCGAAAATGTTTAGAAAATGCAGCTTATATTAATTATACAAGAGTATCAGAACATGCAAAAATAGAAGGTAAATCTATCAATAATTTAACAATAACATTCTTTTTTTTTAAATAATAGTTTTAGACTAGAAATATGAATTGATCCTATTATTAAAATATCTCATTGAACTTTTTTAGAATTCTCTAATTTATAGAACAAATTTATAAAAATAAATTGACTACATCTTTCTCGTGATGTTATAAACCAAATTATATTTTCATATCTATGATATTGTGTCATTCTAAATAAAATAGGGTATAATTAAATTCCATGCATGTCGAATTTAATAATAACATTTCACTAAATTTTTGAGTAAAAATCTCTTTCGTTAGAGTTATTTTAAATATATAAATTGCTGCAATGCTGTCATCGCACTATTTGCTAATGCTAAAACGCTGCTATAATATATAATGTTGTAAAAATAATTGTTCTTCTCAATATTTAAATATTTGATAATTTGTTCATATCAACGAATATTTTTTACTCTAGTATAAAATCAATAACAACAATAACATATTATGTCCATGTTTCAAATTAAAAGATGTTTTAACTAGAAAAACTTATTGAATTGTTTAATTTTTAATCTCATTTATCTTCTAACAAATATGATAGTTCTTAATAGTAGATAAATTTGTTTTTCTATTATATATATAAATTATTGTCTATTGAAGAAAAATATTTTAATTATCGGCTTCTAAATCTTAAGTTTATGTGTAAAATAAATGAATGTATTATGCATATGAAATATTGTTTTCTATTTTTATTCTATGGTTCTTTTAAGGAGAACACGAAACACAGCTTCAAGCTGAAAATGGTAAATTCAATTTTATACGTTCTACGTCTTTCATAATCGTTTGTGTATATACTGTTATTATTATTTTTTGTCTTGCTTAGATTTATGTATGAATCCTAATGTTTCATTCCATTTTCTTAAAGAGGACTCAACTGTAAAAGATCTATGTCATCATCTCTTATTCAATTTTTATGAGAAAAGTCATAAAATTATTTATGTTTTTAAATGACTTGATGAATATTTCTGTAAGAGTCAATGTTAAACATACATCGTATTCTGACTCTAGCAGAACAGTGAGAATATATGTTCGTGTATACGATACAAAACTGATTACGAACATAGCTTTCCCATAATTAGGGCAAAAATAAATAAATTTGCTTTTGTCTACAATATTTATTTTTGCAATGTAATTCTCTGTTTGTTTATTTATTTTGTTTTGTTGTTCTCGTTTTTGTGTTTATTTCGCTAATAGCTTATTGTCTCGCAATGTTGTTTTTGTGTATCAATGTAGCTAAAAAAGTCATTGTTCGCACAGCATATTTGACATACTTTACCATAATTTAACTATATGGTTCAGATATGAAATAGACGATTTAAAATTTTGTATACTCTTGAATAGCTGAAAAAATAATATTCTTATTTTTATTTTTTGTAGAAACTGTGTACAACAGTGATGATTCACCTCGTAAGAAAATCGACGATTTAATCCATTTAGGTGAATTATGTATTGAATTATTACAACAAGATGAAGAACATTATAATGAAGCATTTAAACAATATCAAGATTTATTAATTGAACACGAAGAAATATTTTGGTCTTTATTTGCTGTTGATATGGAACATGTTATTGATCAACAACCAGTCGAAAGCTGGGATAGTTTTCCATTGTTTCAACTACTGAATGATTATCTGAGAAACCATAGTAAATAATATTGTTATTTAGTGTGTATAATTTAAGCGCTTCCCACCATCAGACAGCTCGATTGTATAGGGTTTTTTTAAATACTTGATTATGATCCGATTCGAAACCACAGGAAATCACTGCTAAGCACGTGTACACATGCATGCATCTATGTAGACTTTTGTTTACTGTTAAAAGTAAGATCTTAAACGAACTCAATCATTTTTCTTCTTAAGGTACATTAAAAAATGGTCGTTTTCATCAACAGCTGAGAGATACATTTGCACCATTAGTCGTTCGTTATGTTGATTTAATGGAATCGTGTATTGCTCAATCGATTCATAAAGGATTCGAAAAAGAAAATTGGAAATCAAGAACGTACGTAATTGTTTATGTTTAATTGATGATGAATGGGCAATATTTTGAGCAACAACTAATTGTGAATGCGTGTGTGGTGCTATATTCATTTTATATTCTTCTTTATTTTAGTTTTCGAATTTTTGATCATTAAGGGTCATTATCAAGAACATTTAAAATAAAGAGAAAGTGCTAATTAATCTAACCGAGAGAGAGAGAGATTCTATAAGAAACATTCCCAGATTGAGTTAATAGAAGTTATCTTTAGTAACAATAACAGTAACAACTACTGAAAAATGTTAACAGCTGAAACATGCAATAATACATGAGAAAAAGAATTGAAAGACAATAAAAACGGAGAAACAGACGTCGTTGACTTTAAGCATCCGTAACACTTTTTCGATAGGAGCCGCTTTTCGATGCTCATAGGATAAACATACAATGATCTTCAACTATTATTGAGCGTTGGCAAAAATCCTCATATCAAAATAGATTCCTTTATCAATCGACGATATTTATTTTGTTGAAAAACTAGAGATTTAAAATTTATGTTTTTTAACTTGTGCCCTTTTTCCAAAAAATATTTTCAAATAGCAGATTTAATTTTACCCGAATATAGAAATCCGGGCATGATTTCGTGCGCACTATACCCAACTGTAAATCACTAGGTACTTTGTCGTTTAATTGAAAATAGCGTCCTGTACAGTTAATTGACTGATAAAGTATTCTCACACCTTCTGTATTTTTATTTTTATTGTTCGTCTGTTTTACAGCAACAATAAGTCGATTACCGTAACTTTTGTTGATATTCTCATATTATGAAACTTTACGAGCATATTTCTGAACATCATTTTTTGACTTTGGATCTAGTTTTGTTCTTGGCTTCTTATTTTGAGCAAATCACTCTGTTCATTTCGACAAATATTGTACGATCAACGAAAATAACTGAATATAACCATTCAAATTACTGTATTCCTAATGAACTCCATCTCTTGATGTGTTAGTTCGAAATTAGAGCAACTGAATAATGTCTTAAAAACCAGAGTTCCTGTTGTATTTCTCTTATCAACAGCTTAAAAGTTTCATATAGATTAGTTTACAATAAACGCTGGTAGTAAAACTATTATTAGTCCTCGTAACAAACACATTATGAAAAGGTAGAGTTTTATTATTTTCACTTTCATAAGTGAATTTAATCTGTCCGAGTAATTTATTTAGTTCTTGATTGATAGATTCCCCAGTAGCTAGCACTCAAAACTACTGGTGAGAAGTGTAGAAGTGTCGTCGATATATCTTTTTCAACTATATAATTCGAAATTCGTAAGCTGATGAATATGTCGGTGTTAGAATAAAAATCTCCACAAGAGTTGGTACTAAGTAGAAAATCCATAGAGACGCCATCGATTTGCTCAAAGATATCTCCGTTGAACGTGAAATGTGTTTGTTTAGTTGTGAAAAGCAAACATTTACGGAATTTTTTTTTAATATAGCTGCTAATAGCTGTTTATTGTTATAAAGACGATTTAGGATCAAATTGATAGTCTCATATATTTGTATATTTGTGAAGAAATTAGTTACATCAAAAACCATAATATGATCTGTCATTTTTCAATTGATCGTTTTTAAATAATTGACAAAATCAAAAGTAGCATATAAAAAAAAACATTTACTATTACGCAGCGTGTTAATAAACTTTAAGTGCATTTTACTCAGACCGTAATTGTATGATGATAATACAGAATGAAAGGGAGAGTTCTTCTTATGTATTTTGGGGAAATGTATATGAATATACCATCAGCTGCATTTACAATTAGTTTTATATTCGTGTTTATTCAGAAAGTTTATTCTATAAAAAAGAATCGTTAGAGTGTGTGTGTTTATATCTAAACGATATTTTTTTAGCCGGGGTTGTGCGACAAGTGAAGATATGCTATGGAGATTAGACGCATTACAGTGTTTCATACGAGACTTACACTGGGTTAGTATTACATAATATTTTTATTTATCTTTTGTTATTAAAAATTTATGTTTTATTTTTCTTGTTAGCCTGACGAAATATTCGGAGAACATTTAGAAAAACGTTTAAAACAAATGGCATCCGATATGATTGAAGCGTGTGCTAAACGGTAATAACAGACTCTTTTTAAATTATTATAAAAAGTTGAGCTAACAAATTATTATGTTTAGTGTGTGTCGTCATTTTGAAGTATGGATTAAAAAAGGTGGTCTTATGGGAGGAACAGGAACAGATTATTTACTACCAAGTGAATGTTGTGTAATGATTAATGTTATTCTTGACTGCAAATCACAAGTAATAAATAGTTTATTTTTTAATTCTAGTATATCAAAAATAAATAGTTTTATTTATTTTTCTTAAGGCGTTAAAGTTGTGTGCATTAAATAGTGGAGATTTACATCAGTATCATACAAAAATTGATGAATATCTTGAAAAAATTCTTAGCGAAATGTCAAAATCATTAATTCTCAAATTAGTTGCTGTAATGGATACAGCACTAAAAAAGTTATCACGCTACGATGAAGGATCATTTTTTGCTCCAATTTTATCCTTAACTGTAAATACTCGCTCATTTCTCTTTTCTATCTGTTTATAAATATTTTTCTTCTCTTTATTTTCTAGAAACCAGTGAATGAAGTTGGTCAAGCATATGTTGCATTTGTTAATACAAATCTTGAACAGATAAGACAAAAAATTAGCGATGAATTATTTACATTAAATTTGTTTGAAGTATGAAAATAACTTTATCAGTTGTAAATGACAAATTTATTTGATGTTTTTTTCTTTCTTTTCTATTAGGAATGGTATCGTCAACAAATGCATCTTGTTTGGACATGGTTAGGCGAACGAACAGAAATCAGTCTTCATCCATATCAGTTGGCCTGTTTAGTTTTATTTGTTAAAGTAGGTGGAAAAATTATTTAATATTTAATAATATATAATTGATTTCACTTTTTCAGAAAACCCATGGAAACTTTGAATTGCAAGGTGTGCAAGAAAAGGATTTGAATTCGACGACTTACAATGGAATTATTCAAAGATTACACGTAAGAATGTTTTATCACAATGCACATAATTATTGTGTTTGCACAGTATTTTAATCGTGTTGTGTAATGTCATATTAATTGATATTGTGTTTTAGATCTAAATATTTTGTACAGCTTAAATGTATTTGTGTTGTGTTTGTACGCTATATTACTAATAGTTAATGAGTTGTATGTACATCATGCATGTTAATTGTCTTTCATCATGATACTCGATAGGTACGTAGAGTGAAATAAACTAAAATGTATTCAAATTGTGTTATATGATGTCCTATGTTTAATTAGTGTAATAGTAATGCATGACAACTAAACTTTAGTTGTGAGAACTTATTGTATAAATACTGGATGGCTTAATTTTCTTATCTATTGTGACATTTTAGGTTGAAGAAACAAGTCAGTGCATTAAGTAACAACTATTTATTTATGGTTTTCTGTTTAATTATGGTAATTGAATAGCTATAATTATGATTTTATTTCTGATGCAATTTTCTTTTTGTTTTCTTCTATTTAGTTATTTTTGGATAATTGTGTATGCTTTTATTATGTAATTGTACATTTAAATTTAATTCTCGGTGTTTTTTATTCTTTTACTCTATTATTTCTCTGTTTCAATCACATACGATAGGTTATTACTATTTTTTCCGTTATCGTCTAGTTTTCATTGTGTACGTTTTTTTTCTGTTGAAATATGAAAATCAAATGTTTTCTAAAATGACCAAAACTCAGCTCTATTTCCTACTGTTCTACACGTACAACAGTGTGTAGAATAAATAAATTCTTTCGTGATGTGCTTGCTTCCATCTCAGTTTAAACAAGCCATTCAAGATTTATATTAAAATCTTTAGAATAAAAATTAATTGTGACAGTTTTTTTTAATATTGTTCCATTTTAAATAGATATTCCCAATATTTTTATTTTGAGAAAACTGATATATCATCCATACTAAAGTTCATCTTGATTCATTAGCAAAATTTTTATATTTTACCGCTTTCAAATGCTTTTTTTTCTTTTATTTCGTTTCGTGTAATGAATGACATTTTGAATAAATGCAATGTATGCACTCTTTTTTCGATTTATTTCATTTTCTTATTTCAGGCAGTGATGTTTTCTATCTAAGTTTTATTTCGACCTATAGAAAAAAAAGAACTTCCTCGTCGTTCTTGTTATCGCTATTTTTTTCTTCAATTTTTGTTTGTGCTTTTTTGCAACTTATAATAAGAGAGATTTCTATGCAATATAGAGAAATGAAAAAAAAAGAATAACAGAATTCGACCAATTCTAAATATAATCAGCAGAGAATATTGTTCAATTCTTATTAAAAAGCGTTTATCATAGTTAAAACACGAGCTTTAAAATGAGTACGAGATTTACTAATATATTGTGCAATAATACGACAAGGCATCGTTACTGAAACAAATGATGCCTGATAACGAAAAGAAAAACGGCGCGTTTGCAAGCATAGTGCAGCATAAATATCATAAGGTGTTATCATAGAATATCAGATTCTCAGGTGTTCTAAATACACGGTTTGTATTAAATTTTATACTCATCTTCATTAAGATGAAGTACAATGAATACCGTGAGAATTAATACAAATTAGTCTTTAGCTAGACTTCTGGGCTAGCGACTTACCTTCCGCTCCTTTCTGGATAAAACATCACTTAACGCTGTTTTGCGTGCTGAAAAGTGTTGATTGGTTCTGAGTGATACTTCTACCATGAACTCTCGCCATGCGTTTTTGTATTATTGGTTTGGGCATGTAACAATCCCTTCGCTGTTGAAGTTTTTTCCCTATTCAGCCTCAAGAATACAGCAATCGACGCATTTCTTCATGCTGATCACGAATATTGACTTTAAAATTCATGGAAAATGAGTTTTCAACTCGAAAACTTAAGTTAAACTTTAATTTTCAATTTTCTGACCTATTCAGGTTCCGTTAGAAAAACGAAAAGTAGTGACATTCGATAGAAAATTGAATTCTTTACAAAATGCGCTATTTAGTTACATTAAACATCCAGAATATTTTGTACAGCAAACAAGTTTTCCCCAATCTGCTGACTTTTGACAAATTTTTTAGATGCCATAATATCATTTTTTGATCCTATTTTTGGCTCACATAATTTAATTCTGCTTGATACCATAGAGATCTGTTCAAATTAGATCACCTTTGAAACTTTAGAAACGAAACAAAACGTTGAAAAAGATCAGTTTCATGAGAGCAAAACGACAGGATTGATTTTTTGAAACTTCTTTTGACAAAAGGAAACCTCAAAAATATTTTCTACAAAACATATTTAATTGTTTTTTTAAAAAGATTGTAACACTCGTAAAAAAATTAAATGTAAACAGAGAGTTCCGAGGTATCGACAAACGCCATGGTGTTACACCCTGTATTTTCCAGTTTAAAAACTAAACAACAAACGTCCGCTAGTTGATTATTTTATCGCATCTACGGAATGTTTTGCCTCATATAATAGGAACAAAATCAAGTTTCTAAATGTGATGCCTTACTTTCGCAGAAAAGTAGAAAAGTATCGAAAAAACGTCGCCGTTATGCTTATTCAAGTCGATTGTGCTACTATAATCACTTCCTCTATTAATGGAAAGAAAAAGCAGTAATAGTTGCTTTTTGTTGTAATATTTAGGTCAAACAAACTTTGGTTTCAGGATAGTGGTAAAAGAGTTCCACACAACGTAATAGGAGGCCAGCTATGGTTACGTAACAGAAAGTCAGGCAGTAATGGTGAATCATAATTCTTAAACAAATCAACATGAGTTTGTCATTTTGGATTGTGTTTGAATCTTGCACAAAATGCTTCGTCGTCCTCCCGAGCTACCTCGATCAATTAATGATCGTTTAAATCGTTTAGCTAATACTGTATTCACGCCAACAAAATATGATGCACAACTTTCTCCCGATTATTTGAATTTTCGTCAACGTATCGAAGTTGATTATGCTTCAAGTCTTCCATTACAAATGTTATTATATTTCAATCTCTGTTTTTTTCCTTGTTGGTTATTTTCACACATATTTGTATTACCCGTATTAACCATTTCTAATAGTAATCAGCATATTATTTTGATGATATTTGCCTTTGTATTCAAAGCAATTATTGAAATTGTTCGACTATATTTGGGATATGCCGGAAATCTTGGTGAACGAATGCCCGAACTGACAGCATTTTGTTTATTAACAATTATTTTTCAAGTACCATTAACATTATTTCTACTTTTGTATCAAATTATCGCAATGATTCAGATTTGTATGGCTCTGATACTTGCTGTGGAAGTGCTTTGTCTTGCGTTTTTAGTTTTTGAAGCAATATTTGGAATTTTAGCTGTTCGAATAATGGTCACTGCTCAATCGTCACGTTTTCATTATCGACAATTTGAGGAGAGACTCTCGACATACGCCGAAGTTTACTAGATGAATCAATGGAGAGAATTTTTAATAAACAAAGTGCTGGTCACTATGAATGATCAATAATAGACGAATTCAGTAATCAGTAATTTATTAGTTCTTATTCAGAACTAAAAACTAGAAAAATTGAGCAGTAAATACAATATTTTCATTGCCGGAATTATCTAAGTGCATTATTTTAGATACAACTTTGTTTTTATACGAGTTTGTATTTCTATTACATCTATTGTTAAAAGTTTTATGTACTAAACATTTTTTCATGCAAAAGTTTCGCTTTTATACTTTTGTTATGTTGTTATTTATAGAAGCTATATATGGTTGCGTGTTATACTGTTCCTTTTGGTTCCTTTTAAAAACAGTAAAAATTGCTAGAGGTTTAAAGCTTATACTTGTTTAGATTATATGGATTGTGTGTCAACACTTTTTTTTTTATGAGGTAGATGAATGTCTTTTAGATTTACGTTCTTCACGTCTTGAAATTCATGTTTTTTTTAGACCCAATTTTAGATTAGAATAACCAGAAATGCACAAATCTTATCAGCCTGTTACCCCGTCCGCAAACCGTCTTCTTCAAAAAAAATGGGACGACAAGTATTATTCGGAACATCGTTTATTAGTATGTTCACGTATTTCTTATTTTAAGAGTTGGTGATTGTTGTCTGTGTAACTTTAGGTTCGCGATGCTCGACCGATGATCGATAGTCGTCCACCCAGAACATATATGCACTTACACATGAAATTAAAAAAACTTCAGGTATAGAGTTATTTTGTTGATAATTAAATAATGTTGAAAGCATATTTTTCAACTAAATCAGAATTGAAAACTTCAAAAGTATCACTTCTTTTCTGATCGATGAATGGTCAAGAACAGAATACCTCTCGCCCTCAACCTTTTTAAGAATAGAAGAAAAACAGTAACACTTTTGTTTTTATGATCTACGTAAAGTTTTTATTAATTCTAGTTGGAAGAAGAACGACTGGCGACTGTAGAACGTGATAATCGAATATTATTAGAAAAAATGTCGACAATCATGCGTACGACTGGTCGAGTAGAAAATAGAAATGATTATAATCCTAAAAGGTAAAATATATTTTGCAGTTTTGTGCATGACAGATAATCTTGCTTGTACACCAAGATAGAAAAGTGCATGTTACATACGCACGCACATTCGCTTTTAGTTTGAATCATGAAAAACGACGACGAGAACTGTTGCGTGTTTCAAAAGAAAATTCAACTATGATTAAACGTATCACAAATCGAAAAGCAGACACAAGTCGAGAAGCATGGGAACGTAATTGGTCACAAAACATGAATTATGCTAACAATATATCAAAGTATGATGTAGATTGGCATGAACATCCAAAGGTATGAGTCTACATCATGTTGATTCTAACTACAAGAGAACTTTTCCAGATGCTCCAAAACTCTTCTAATTAAAGCTAGTTTTTCCAGTGTCATTCTTGACGCCGATTAGAAGTCTAATGTTCGTTTTCACTTATCGGGTTTCTGAATGGATCTTTAGAAATATGGCCTCTAGAGATTCATCATGAGTCTGCGAATCAAGACATTCGGATTTGGTTAGTTCGTGGAGCTCATCGTGTTGACTCCGTCGAACATTTTTAGAACTACCGAACTTTTAATTGAGTTATAAAAACATTAGTTTAAATACAGCGAAATATCTGATTTTTTTCAGGCATTTTGATAGTAAACTTTTTTTCAGACTTCTAAAAATTCATAAATTCAATTGCGGCACAAACAGACATCAGATTCGTAATCAGCATCAAAATCACCATAGAAAAACTAGCTTTAATTAGAAGAGGTTTAGATCACCTGGGAAGATTGCCTCATAAGGTAAAATTAAATAAAAAACGTTTTGTTTAGTAATGTTTATAACATTTATTATATTGCACTCGCACTTGTTCCCAAAAGATAATTGACTCGAAAGAAAAATAATAATGAATTCGTATCTGTCTCTTGCTTGACTCAACTCCCATAGTACTATAATTTATTCACGAACGAACTCTTATTCTTTTTGTATATCGATTTTAAATAAATTTTATTTCGATATAGCCGTCCACTAGTCGATCAGCAACCGATCGACATGATTCAGTACGTAACGAGAAGCGATCTCATGACATTGATGAAAAACCAAAATCTGCAAGAAAAGAAGAACAACAAGAATAAACAGTAGCATTTTTAACTGGTCTCCATAAGATCAAGAGCATTTATTCGTCCTGGTGATATTGTCTCCATATTTAATATTATGTACACTATCTTTTTCTATTCCAAAATAAGATGCATTTCTCTCATTTTCCTAGTGATCTTCTGATACAGTTTCAAACAATCTCATGAGGGTTATCCATACTTTTATTATTTATGATTCCCGGTTATCGATCCTAAAAGAAATTGTTCGTGAATTGTGCACAAAGTTTCTTCCATTTTATTTTTTATATATATTATGCTTTTCTTTATTCTTTCGAGTGCAAAATATTAATCGCTGTTTTAACGTTGGTATATTCTTCTGATTCTGAATTTTAAACTCGTTTGCTTAGTTGTGTATGTATTATTCTCTTGCCAAATCACTCTCTTTCATTATTTTGAATAAAACATTACCCATGCCTTTATGAAATATCAATCCCGAACATCGTGAAAAACTATATTGATTGGTATCTAACACGCAATAAGAACGTGTGAGCGATACACTGATATACTAAAGTCGTTAGAATAAGTACAGTGCAACTAATAATTTTGGATGCGCATCCGCTTTTCGTCTGATAATGGAAATTTATATATTTATATAAATACTGACGCAATTACACACTATACACTATTTTAAGTTCGTGTATTGTCCATTAAATGACGAATCCTCTACCAACAATTCCAGAAAATATCGAGCACATAACGAGATCTAGTTGGAAAACTCATGTATCTTAAAACCATAATCAGCAGTAAGATGTTCAACAATATAATAAATATATCAAATGTGTGTAAGTGTGAAAAGAAGAACACACTAATGCTCGTCGGTTTTCTCAACCCTTGTTGATCTGAAATAATTGAAACGGTGTATT